TCGTTCAAACGACTTGGCGTACTCGACGCAAATCTGGCTGACTTCCTCAACACTCGTCAGACTGCTCGTCGGAGTGAAGAATCTTGCATTACTGTCGACGCCTAATTTCTTAATCGTGTTTATCGCGCTTCAGATGTGGGCGGTGATTTCTCGGCACCTGAAGTCGCCAGTTTGTTACTGCAATCGACAGTCGGCTCATTTGCGAGACGAGCGCCTATAATTGATGTTTCACCACCAGTTCGCGCTTGAGTTGTAGATCCGCGCGCGTGCTGTGCCTCATTTCTTCTGCACTCAGAAACCCACGAATGTCTCATTGACATATCGATAATTGCTCAAAGAATTCGGCCACGTCATTAGTAACTACGCATATTTCATGACTGTTCATTGATCGAGAAACCGAGTGCATATTAAGAAATAAAAGGTAAAATGAAAGTCTCGTCAGTTTACCAAAATAGAAACTTAATTTCTGTCCACCCACATAATATAAACGCCAAATTTTCATCATGTACATGGCAAAAATTCAATTTTCTTAGGTAATGAAAATTCTACATTTTCATTGGGAACATAATAAAAGTAGCTTTTTGTTATTTATGTAATCGAAATGCTACCTTCCTTCGTCTGGATGAACCATCAGTCATGTTAAACACGCGAGTAGAAATAACGCGGCTGTGTGTAAGCACGTATCGATTCATCATAAAATATTCACAAGTCTCAGTCCTTTGTCCAGTGTTTGTCCAGTGTGTAGAAATGGCTTTTTTTGTATGAATTAGCGGTGCACATTTTGTCCAAGTCCACAAGCGCACGTGTTTCGTCTATGACGTGGCATAATTTATTATTGGCATACTAACTAAAAGACACTGACTCATAATTTTGTTTTCGAGCGAGTAGATTCTCTTGTTTGTAAACCCATCTCATAGTCTTCAAATAGACCAACGATTGAAATGAGAGGGACAAAAGTTTGATTTGCATGAAAGCAATCGAAGCTCTCTTTACGGCACATATTTATTCCAATCTCCAATCGTAGATCTGAAAGTTTGACTCGTTTAAACTACAATATCCCCCCAAGAATAAGCAAGGAGATTGCCGAAGCCTTGCGACTTTCTGATCAATTTACGGTCAATTAGTCGGATTAAGTAGCGATCAATTAATCACCGCGGTTCGTGGTGATCAATCAAATTTCTCCATGCGAATTTTATCGCAACTGCATCGAGCCTAAGATTATCTTACTTCGTTCGACTCTCTTTCATAAACAGACAGGTATTACATAACCAGCTATCTTAATCGCGCCGAGCGAACGGAACTGCGAAATTTAATCGCGATATCTTACCGATAAGTCACCAATGAGAAGTAAACTGATAAATTCTAGTCCAGTGAAACGTAAAGTAAGAACATGCCAATATGCTCACTGTTAATGACAAAATACACGAAACTACAATAAAATTACAAATAATTCACCGTCTTGTAAGCACGATCTTTTCACCTGGAAACATCGTGACAATAACAGTTGCAATATTTCGCACGAATTTACACGTCCAATTAATGTTCACCGTCGAAATTTCTCCACCGCACAAACGATAAAAATGCATGACCGATAAAAATGCATGATGCGTCAAATAAGCAGACATCGCATTTTATTTGCATATCGCACGCATTTACTTTCGACAAGTTTCGAAATATCATTATAACTAATCAATCGAGCGAACCGTCGGTTCGCGAACGTTCTTTGCTCGCGTAAGACTAAGGTTATCGTGGAGGCTCCTCTTATCAGGGGAAATTTTTACTTTCTCTTATCAAACGATGCACCGTTTGTTGAAGAAACGGTGCACCGCTCAGTACAGTGACACTAAGTATAGAGTGATGCTACGTGGTGGTACTCTTTTGAAAGTAGTTGTACGGACAAGAAACTCCCTTATCCATCCCACTGTCAGGTATAGTATTAATGATGGTCACCCATGTGTAATCAGTGGTTAAAAAGATTACGAATGTTTTATTTCCCGATGTATTTTGGAGTATACGAAAATCGTGCAAACGCGCACCGCACGATTTTCATGTCCAAAATCTCGTTGAATGAGAAAAAAAGGGTCGCAACTCCATGCAATCTCGTTGGAAATACTGAACCTTCGATTTCTATTTCTAATTATCACGTTGACAAACACGAAAATAAGATTACAATAGTACTTAATTGCACAGCACAAATGACGTTCTTGTCTTATTTTCATATATTATGATAAAACCGCTAATTTGGAATGGATAACTTAAATGCAGTGGATAATAATTTAAATGAGTAAACGAAACGGTTTACTAGTATAATAAATTGAGTAAATTTTTTTCCGTGCTTCCCGCTTTGAAGTTACTTCGCTAATTAAGCTGGACGTGAAATAAAAAGAAATTGCGAAAGAAAAAATTAACTGCACTGCCCGGGAATCGAACCCGGGTCGCAAGAATGGGAATCTTGCATGATACCACTACACCAGCAGTGCTGTTGATACTCCGTCGTTTACTTCGACGGATATAAAGCGGTCATATCGAGGACTGAAATCAATAAATTATTACATATTTCTTACGTATTAATTTTAGTAGTATCGTACAAATTCCATACAAAAACTATGACGAGTCGAAAGATACAATAAAAAAAAATTTCTTTTGGACAATGCGCGCTTTAATATTCGATCAATAAAAGAACTCGGTTTTTGTACGTACAACGATAACGTTATAATTACAATATGGAGAAGAAAACATAAGATATACCTACGGTTTGCGGGTATATATTTTAGAGTCATATTTATAAAAATATAAAACCATAATATAACAAAAAATAAAGATGTGCGATGGCCGGGAATCGAACCCGGATCAACTGCTTGGAAGGCAACTATGCTGACCATTACACCACCATCGCACTTGCAATCCTCTGTGCTTACAGTGAAGGAGTGCGATGGTTGCGACATAAATTTAAATTGCAATATTGTTATTTGGAAAAAAACAAGATACACGACTTTATATAATTCATCATACGCGTTTACTTTTCAAGTACGTCGATTGCTAATTTTTTATTCATTAGCCACGTTACGTAAATCGACTTATATTTGCATAATTATTGCTTCGTTTGCATGCAGACTTCATCTTTAGACAATATTAAATAGAATGACGATGTTCTGCCTTGACATTAAAAATACATTTTAAGACAGTATTATGTTGCAAGCAAAACATTATTAAATTATGAGAATATCAGCGAAAAAAAGGCTTGCATTATGGAAATTTATGATATGCATGATATGCATGATTCACTTCAAAATATAAAGTTTAAGTAAAGTCTAAAGTTTAAGAGTTACCTTGTGCATTTGAAAAATAGAAGATAGGTATGAGTATGAGTATTGATTCCGATAGCGTCTGTTAAACGCGAGTTACAACCACGATACAACTGGCATTACATTGCTCGGAAGTTCTATTATCATTGACCCGCATGTATACATATATTGTTAACAGTTGTTTTGATCGCTATGATTCAAACGAGTACTGTACAATTTATGTATAGCACTGCGATTCATAACAAGCGAAATAAATGTGTTACGTGTTCGACGAATATACGACGAAATCTCGCATCATCGTCGTTTAGCATGTCCTTTAACTTATCGTTTCACGTCAATGAATACGTCAATATTTACCGTTGAAAGCGTACCGGTCACAATTTCATGTCTTCAAATTTCTCGAAAGAGTCTCACGTGGGTCGCTGAGAAATGAAAATAGCGCGAGTGAAGCCAACGAGTTCTGCTTATCGCGTGATGTGAAATAAATTTTTGACTGACAAATATTTCCAACATCATACATTATTCATGACGCGTTATCGCGTTCTATTGCGAACACACACGTAGCCAAGTATACAATGTGTACCAAGTTCTGATACTAACAGGAAAGATCCAACAGGCGATTGCGAGAACGAAACACGACTCAAATATCTCTCATATTTGAGAGAAAAGAGAAAAAGAGAATACGTATATAAAAAAGAAGCTGGGACATAACGGTCTGTTAAAAACGTCAGCATTAAGGAATTCAGCAAGCGTACTCACTCGTCATTTAGACGAGTGTGAGTTAACAGTAGTATGTTCGCTTACGACTATTGTCGCTTTCACCGGCCGGAAGTGGACGACACATCGTCGAGGTAGAAACTTCCGGCAAAAGTACCGCGGTAAGTTTCGTACTTGACTGTGCCTTTGTCTCGCGAACGAATAACTCTGCCGGAGAGAGAGACTCATTAGAGCGTAAAGGAACGAAGTTGAGCTCTCTTCACGAGATCGAGACGATTCTGAGAAAACCGGCAGCAAAGTGATAGTGTCGTCGTATTGAACAGCGAAGAATAATGGAGGACGACATGAAGAGGAGAAGCAGAGAGAAGGCGAGGGAACGACATAACGCGGCATACGCAACAAAATGCGGCAGCAAAAAATTAATAGAGAAAAAATTGACAATATATCGACGATGTATCGTTCTCATCTATCGACCCGAAGCTCCCGCGCTTGCATCACGAATTGTTCAAAAACTCCCGACCCTTTCGCGGAGTTGTTCGGTATCACGAGCGTGACGATAACGGGGGCACATATGGTGGGGAGGGAAATACGGGTTAGAAAGCCCTAACCGCCTCTCGCGGCTGGTTGCAGACGGTAAAATCGTTCCTCAGTGAACGTTCAGCGGTCGTCGATCGCGGTTGCAGTTCGCCGTATGTGCCAACTTTGAGACCTCGTTTCATTCGATTAACGAAACAGACCGCTGGTACAAACCGAGTTAGCCTACTTCTTTTCACCGCAGAATGATCTGCCCGTGTGCAGGAAGGCCCGCCGGAAGAGAATTCATTGCAAAATCAGATTTGTGTGAATAAACGCGGCATACTTCACGGAGCGACTCAATCAGCGAGATCAATCGCGCGAGACTTAAACTTTCAGCGAAGAGACTCGAACTTTTGTCGTGATTTCAATCGGAAAGAATTATGTTCGCAGCGCACGGTACGTCGCCTCGATGACTACTAGAATATGCATGAAAGAAACGTACAACTCTCGTGAAAGGAAAGAAACACTGCAAACTAATTTTACATATTTCCACCGAAATGTGTACGGTAAGCGAGAGCTGAGAACAGTGCACTTTATCGCGAGATTATGCCTATAATTACCCATCGCTGCGCATCACTTCATTTTGTTCAAGCAGACTTGCGTAATCGACGTGCAAACTGAATCGCCGACTGAAGAGTTTCACGAAGATTGCAATTGACATTAAAATAAAGACCGAGCGCGATGATAACGGAACGCCATTATATTAAATTATATCGTCATCTACTTCTCTCATTCATCGATAAGTGAAATTCTCCGTTTCTTCCGCGAGAAGTAGGTCGCAAATACGTGCTAGTATACGTGAAACGAGAACGGAGTTTACGCGACCGGGTATGTCGAACAGTCTTCTTATACTTGCATCTTTTCGATAAAAAAAAAAAGAAAAAAAAAAAAAAGAGTTCAAGGCTCGTCGCAAAAAGCCGCGAAATTAAACTCGACCTGAGAATTATTTAAAATCCGCGATCGATGCGCAAGAGCGGGGAGGACACGCGCGGTGTCCGTCCTTCCTATAGACGCAGCAGTTGTGTTGTGTGGCCTTCGTGTGGCATCGTTAGCTTTTTGTGCGAATAATGAGGAGTAAGCGCGTTATCGCCACTCGTACCATTTGAAAAAATGTCACGATTAGCCACACAGGCACGATATACTTTCAGTCGCATTCGGTCGAAACCGCGAGAGCAACCTCTCGCGAAAGGAGGTCTTCGGATGTCACGAGCGATTACTGTTGCGCAAGAAAGAAAGCGCATAGTTCGCTATACGTCTGAAAGTAGCGCGCGCAGAAAACACGTGTTGAAAGCGAGCAGCAGCTCTGATTGCCGAGGCGACGCGCACGAAACTAATCGCGATATCAGAGCAGCGCAACTGTGAGAACTCGCTCGAGTTGCCGAAAGGAGCCGCGATGCGGAAAGCGGTGCTAGGACTCACACACGCTGTCCGTTCGTGATGGAAATGACACGTAGAAACAAAAGCGTTCACCCGTAATCCCGTGCCAAACATGCAATCTCGCAACAGTGGACTCGGACAATTTTATCAGACTTAACCTAATCTAATCGCGGGGAGTCAAATACACGTGGCGAAATTAAGCAAGGAAATGTTCTTCGGCTCTGACGGACATGGTGAAGGAAAAACCGCGTAGTCGAAGCGTGAGCGATTTGCTCGATTGGAGATGCGTAGCCGAATGCAAGAACACCGTCGCCGTGATCGACGATGGAGGACTCTTTTTGGAGGACCGTGATAAGGAGCCGGAAACTCGTAGACGGAAACGATCCGATACATGGCCGTGAGTAGAAATCAGGGGTAAAAATAATCTCCCGAGCAGAGGACAGAGTTGCGACTTTGGGAAATATCCAATAAACTGCGAATCTAATAATATCATAAAAACATCAGCCGGGCATCCTTTCATGAGGTGAGGAGAAACACGACGATGAAGTTTAGCGAAGTAACGACTCTCGCGCGAGATACGAGAAAGCAGTCCTATATTTTTTAATTATCTGACCGGGAGCCGTTGACACTCTCGAGAACACGTTTGGTCCTTTTCATCTTTTTCTTGTTTCATGTTTCTTGAGAATAGCTTCAACTTGCGTTCTTCATGCTTGGCTGCGAGCAAAACACGAGGAATATAACGAGTTGACAATTTCAAGGCGTGGTTACAAGTTGGCACCGTTTTAATGTCTACTTTTGTATCGCAGAGCCGGTACACGGCAGTTTATAATTATGTCGCCCATCGTTCATAAATCCTCGCACGCGCGGAAGTAACGGACACCTTTTCCGATTAGTTTATTGTCCTCGAGACGCGGGCTTTAACAGCACTACGGCGTCCGGCTGAATAGTCAAAGTAACACAATCGCTTCCAACGTCCGGTATGGTCTAGTGGCTAGGATACCTGGCTCTCACCCAGGAGGCTCGGGTTCGATTCCCGGTACCGGAATGCATCTTTTGTCCCGCGGGATTGTATTTAATTTTAGCTCTGTCTGTGGACTGATACCTCTGAACTTTACTCTAAGCTACTGTACTCGAAGTCCGGTATGGTCTAGTGGCTAGGATACCTGGCTCTCACCCAGGAGGCTCGGGTTCGATTCCCGGTACCGGAAAATTCATTTTTGTCTCCTATAGGACAAAGTATTTTACTTTCGGCTCCATTCATAAGCACAATGTCACCGGAATATTTTATAAAAATTTATGTCAATCTTTAGACTGTAAAGACCGTAAATATGCATCCAGCGAGAATCCCGAGTGTGAACGAAGAGCATTTGTTGATGGATATAAAAGCAAATTTTGGACGTTTCGAAATTATATTGTTAATTGATTCATTTTACTCCATATAATATTTTTATATATCTACTTCCATTTCCAAAACGCGGTTAAATTTTTATCATATTAAACGCTCAAATCGAGCCAATTAAGTCAAGAACGATTCTGATTTGATTTTACGTACCGCATAACCTAATCTTCAACAAGGCCGATGACATGTTGTGGCGAGACAAGTGTTGAGTAAGCTAATGCGCGCCGAGTCTCACGTTTCGGGTGAGCTCGAATCAGATTACGTGATTCCAGTTTAATTACGAAATTGATCAGCCTGATTTTTCGTCAGCAAAGCTGCACGCTCGAGTCTTCGTGACCGGCGCGATTTTGTAATAATCAGCGAAGCAACGTCGGATGTAGGCTAATTAATGTGACGATATATTTTTAGCAACGTATCGAGAACACTGTTGTGTCACTTATCATTGATCGAGTGCACCGTCCTTATATATTCGGTATGAGTAACAGAGCGCTATATATTGATAAAAAATTTTAAAATAATTAAAATTTAAGTCCCAAGATCAAAATTAAGAACGAAAAAGTAAAACTTTTCCGGTACCGGGAATCGAACCCGAGCCTCCTGGGTGAGAGCCAGGTATCCTAGCCACTAGACCATACCGGACGTTGAGAATTCTCACTTTGTATGAGGATTCTGACTCTGTAGGGTCTGCATTCGAAGCAAAATGGAACTTTCGTTCCACAGGGCAAAAGATATATTCCGGTACCGGGAATCGAACCCGAGCCTCCTGGGTGAAAGCCAGGTATCCTAGCCACTAGACCATACCGGAGCTTGAGCGTTTCCATATCGTATGAGATTCTCTGTTGCGATGGACTATAAGCAGAATCCAAATTGAAGCTTATTTCACGAGAAGACGGAAGTATCGGATAAAGCAAGTATAAAAATACAATTGAAAAAATAACAAACTCAAACAATTAGAAAATACCGGACACGATCTTCTCTTGCAATCTTTTGTCATCGGATTTTCATAAAAGAATGACATTCATCGTTCGACATTGCATGGAAATTGGATTTTCGTTCAGCAGGATTAAGTTTCTATATCGAAGTGAAAAGGGACAAAGGTCCATTTCGTATTAAATCTCACACACACACACATATAAACTTTGAAATGATTTCCTTTTTGTAACGCTTTTGTACCAGATAAGTAGATTAAACCGTCAGTATTTTTATAAGTTCGATCGGGATTATACAGGAGATCTTATTGCAAACAATTAGAAAATACCGGATCTTGTGTTAGAAAATACGATCTTGTTTTGTACGATCTTGTGTGTGTGTGATTTAACACAAAACACCTTTGTCCCTCCCTTTTCACTTCGGTATCAAAGGGGCTCGCAATCCTGCTGGACGAAAATCCAGTTTCCAGACAATGCTGAATGATGAATGTCATTCTTTCGTGAAAATCCGATGACAAAAGATATGAATGAAAATTGAGATAATCCCTCGGGACAAAAGTTCTCTCCAACAAACAAATCCCACTGCCCTCATCCACCCACCCCGTCGTTAGATTTATGACAAATGTGACATTTCTACGAGATTTCGAAGCGACTGTGAATTGACTGTGAAATGGGGTGGTCATCATCCTGCGGGACAAATGATGATTTATCACGCTAGAATTCGAATGTTTTGAGAATTGAAAGATCGAGGCCGCAAATCTGTGAGCGATATCGTGCAATCAATTCTAAATTACATATTTTTACCAACAACCACGCTCAAAGTTTGTACCTCGCGTCAATTGGATGCTCTCTCAACTCGAGCTCCGTCAACCCGACGCAAATTACAACAAAAAAAGTTTTATAGCGGAAATAACGCTCCGAAGAAACGGCTTGCGTGACGGAATTGATTAGTAAAGCACTGGTCGCGCCTGCGTGCGTCGCACTGGGCGTCGCGACGCCGGCGTTCTCGCGACCTACGAGACTACGCCAATAACCCGGCTCCTTCCTCGCGGTACGTCAGTGCCGAAGCGTGCCTTAATCACCGCTGGTCCACGTCAGCTGAATTATCCGAAAGGACCGTTTCTTTCTCCCTCCCTCCTTGACGAAAGAAGAAGGAATCGGTGTGCGGGAACGTGCGCGCCGGTCAATATCGGCCCACATGGACGAGGCTGAACTAAGGTACCGTCGCGGCAAGAAAATAACGATTGATTTACTGTCGCACGCATATGTCTCATCTTCCACGTAACGTGCCACGCTGCGTTCACTCCGAAGGAAAGTGCGCGAACTTTGGGCGATGCTCAGCCGACAACCGATATAGGAGACTCGCGACATTAATGGGGTTCCGTGTTTGCGGAGTGCTGGTTTCTCTTGGTGGTCTACGCAAAAAATTATGTATTGATATTTAGCTCTACACGTGCACAGCTCAGCGTGTGTCCGCTCGAATCACGAACACCGCGCGCGGGAGCACTCTTTGTTGCTCCTTTCTTCGAGAGCGAGAACGCGTTCACCTTTCGCCGCACACATTCCATCCGATCCGGCTTTTGCTCGATAGGCTCCCGCGTGTACGGCTTGCTCATGGCGCCTCCTCTCCATTGCGCGGAATCTCAAGAATTCACGCCCGATGCAATCGATTACCGAACACCGCGCGTATACGCGTTCTCTCCGTTTTCTCTTGGTCGGTCGGGCCAGCCAAACAGCTGCGGGCCGGGCCGCGCCTCGTCACCTCTCGGCCAGATCGCTTTTCGAATCGAAGATTCGAGCACATCTCGTTGCGAGCGTGAGTCTCGTCGCTGTGTGCTCCTCGATCCGAACACGGTGCGATCCGGCACTAGAGTCGCCGCATTGCTTCAGAATCTAATGAACTCCTCCCCAACACGGTGCGCGCGTCCATGTGTGTACTCATCACGATACAGGTTGTTTTCGCGCGAAAAGAACTTTCGTATCGCGTGGTGAGTCAAAGGCATTCCAATGGTGGTTTCTTAACCGACCGGGAGAAAGTTTCTCCTCGTTTAATTTGTCCGACGAAACTGGAAGAAAAAGTATGCGCCTCAACGACTAGACCTACCCCAACTGATCCAACCTAAGAGAAGACAACTTCGTAAAGAAACGAGGCAACTGTTTGAAAACGAAACTGAGAGAAGATAATATCGCGATAGAGCGTCAGGAACGAAAATCGATTTTCGTTCCTGACATCGCGCTCGCGCGCGCACGTTCATCTGGGTTTGCGTTTCACCGCACCAGTCGCGTCATGTTCGCGACCGTCCAACGCGAGGCAACGCGTTTTAGAAAACGCGATGTCCGTGGGACTCCCACACTCGCCCCCTCACGCTGCGCTACCGCACACAAAAAAGCGTTGTCACATCAGAGCGTATGTACGTCGAGCGGGGAAAAATAACTCGGTGATCGCCGAGGAGATACGGCTAGCGGACGACAAAAATACCCTCGCGTTTCGCGTTTCGAGTGCACCGACACGGCGGTGCGGCGGGCGGCTCGTGTTCCTCCGCGCGAATTCAGCACCAGAATTATCTCGGCATCGCATGGCTGCAACACGCAATCGGAAGATTGCCGCTCGCGGCTGAGCGTCGACGCGAACCTCACCTTGCGGGCCGTTTACCGACCGCCGAAGCGTCGTCTTTGGGATCCTCCTCTGAGTACACTGAACATTCTATAATTGTGTCTACGATCAGTGACCAACGCGTCGTGCGCCATTTGTAATCAATTCGCAGTAGTCGCTTGCGATATTATTATTAAAAACGCGCTATCTCTTCTCCCTCCTCTACTTCCTCCGCTTTCCGTCAACAAGTAGAGTGTTGTCCGATAGTACGCCGTTCGCCACACGCGAAGTCTCGCGGAAGTTCGGAGGACAAATTGGTGCTCATTGTCTGTACCGATGATGCTCGTTTCAATAGTGATTCAGTGATTCAGTGACATAAAGAACATTCCTATTGGGGAAGTCGAGGTGGGAAATACACGCGCTTGTCACGCAATGTCGCGGTTTCTATATCGAGTCGACATGGAAAGATTGCAAGCTAGCGTCGATCCGAAGTAGCTCCAGAACTTCGCCCAGAGTTTTGGGCGAAGTTCAAGGCCTGCAAGATTTGTCGTTCTGTTATTTGCCGTTATTTTGCACGCTCGTCATACAAATCACACGCGAAAGTAGTCTCATGCAAATGCCGATTCTCCTTGAGGCGAGCTCTCGACACGTTGATTAATGACCACTATTCGATCATAATTATGACGCTTACGTTTTGTCTTACTTAACGCACGTCCATGTTTAACTTCTCGCTGGAAGCTTCTTTTCCCGTTTAGAAGCTTTTGCGCTCGAGAGCGCATGAAATATTGCGTAACGATAAGATACGTCTGTATGACGTAGTCTAAAAGTCGACAAGATTACCATTCAAGCCACCATTTTGATCGGTGATTTTTACAAATGATGGAAAATCCGTGATCTCGGAATTCTCGGGTTCTGACGATGTGGTTCTGCGGACAACCGTAGAGTATTGTGGTGCGTCAATATTCAAAACACAAGGTCGACCCTTCTTGCAGCTTCTATTTCCAAAGAAAATGCTCGTAAGAGTTTAGTTTAGTTTAGAAACCTAATAGCACGATCGCGCTCGTGAAAGCCAACGTCCCTCCCGTACTCTGTAACCGTGAAATTGTAGAACACTGAGAGAGCCATCCGACTAATAATCTTCAACAAACTGAGTAAACGATGGAAAGTTTCAAATGAGAAAGGAACGAAAATGAATGGACTATCTCGACCTTGGGGACACGGCGGAACGAATTGCAGCGAGAGAGTTTTTATCTTTGCGTTTTTACGAGCACATTTTCGTGAATATTAAACGCGCGCCTTAAACGACAAAACGACCATTTAATGACTTTCATTTTCTTCTTACGTTGGCTTTACAGAGATCTGAAAACAAACCAACTCCGGCAATGAAATGGCTCGTACCCGGCCACGTATGGAAGTTCATTCAGAATTATCACAATAGTTTACACGCCGCGCAATATTTACACGCTACATTTCAACTACCTCGAATATTAACAGCCGACAATCACTGTGTGATACAATAATCGCGATAAAGCGTGATATCTTATCGCGTTGTTTGACAATCCGCAAATTGTCAGCTTTTTAGCGAATTTCCCGCGGCAAGTCGGTTAGCTTATCGCTCACCCCGTTAATAACGCATCGCGAATACCTTGAAGTACACCGCGCAGGTTTTGCGTTTACACTGAGAAGAACGTGCTCTGTCACTTCCTCGTGTACAAAATGGCACAAGATTCGAGCCTGGCCTCGTGCGACAGTGAAAGTGTAACGTACGATGACATCTGCGACGTCGCCGATTCACAGTGCAATAGTTCAGACGTGTCGTCGTTGATGATGAATATCCCGCACATTCGTGTTCTCAGGTAGACATCCTCGACGTAATCGTATATAACCTTCACGACTTACGAAAGTAAGCTATGCTTCGATCAGCTTTTATCAGTAATTCGCGGACTCACGCTCGTCCGGTACTGATCGGGTCTTCGAACTCCGATGGGACGGGACGGTTCCGCTGGAGACACCCAAGATAAATAATACGCGCGTAGTTGCGTGTAGTTGCGAAATAATAGTAGTAATTCTCGGACCATTCCCGCATTCAATTACAGCGTGAAGATTATGCAATAGAACACGAAGCTGGCGGACATAAATTATTCCGCTTTATAATGTACTCACGAGTGAGTTTGTCGTGTTACCGTGTGCCTAGCGCTTATTAGACACGTTAAATTAACGCACAAAGTAAAATGCTCGATGGCAAAAGGTCGGAAAAATATCGTGCGCGCTAATGCAACTCGTAATTGCAACTCGTGCCGTGTATCGGTAAGTAATAACGTCAAGAGCGGTAATCGCCTTCACTCGCGGCTTCAGCCGCCATTAATACGCGAAACACGATTATGTAAATCTTACTTTTTATCAGCTTCTTATCCGCCGCCACAGCCGCAACACGATTATCACCACCGGCCTGTGTCCGTCCTACACATTCTGATGGTTTTCGTTTGTTTACATTTCAGGAGGACAAGGAGTTTAAATGCACCCAATCCGTATCATCTGTTCGGGCGATGCGGGCGTATCATGAAAAATTCTGCGTCCATTGTGTAAGTAACTACTATCTTGCATTCCCACTCGGAAGGAGGAAGAGATTGTGATTGATTAACGCAGCACAATTGAATGTTTCCGTGTTTGCATTAATTTAACGAGTGGGTTTATCAGTCGTGAACATTCATCACGGACACGTTCGTCATTCGCGTCAATCTATATTTATCACATTTATTATTCGCGTCCATCTATATTCTAAAGGACGCGTTTAAGAGTCGTATTAATATACAGATCTCCGCTCTGTATCGCCTCCGTTCGATATTACCATCGTTCGGTAATTAAAAAAGCTCCGGCAATTTTATGCTCGCCATCGGCGACAAAAATTCGACAAAATATTTATAAATCGCAATAAGTCGATTATTATCTCGCTCTTGATCCCCGATTAAAGATAGCTGCCGATATTTCAACACGGTAGATACGCGCGGAAAAATCCTCAAACGCGCTTCGCGCTTCATTCGTTCGGGTCGTATTCGCTTTCTTCGGGAGGTTAAGTTTAATCGTCATCTTCATTAGCACACAATCACACATCGTGAGATTGTAATCGTGGCACGTTCATGTGATAAATGTCGAACTGACTAGGACTAGTGGGGCGACGGTTCATTTGCGTTTCTTTTCGCAAGGAACGATGACTAAGCACGCGATACTCTGTACAATATGATAGCGTTTGAAATGAAGTACGGAGAGTATTGTTCGAGATATCCACGAGATTTCCGCCTGCATTTTGCTTTCCTCTGCCAACTGTGATTTCACGCCGCGCTGTATTTGCCACGTCACTTTACTCCGCGACACCGGTTTAATTTTTAAGAGTCGATCGAACGGTATTATTACCACACCTTACGCTCACCTCTCCCCCGCAAATTCACTGTTTAAACTTTGCCACTTGCGCATAACATTGAGCAACTGGATGCTAAAGAGGAACAATCTAGGGTTCTCGACTCTTTATACGTTCCGCCATGCATCGTGCCGGCGATTTTTTATTTTACAAAACCACGTATTCACTGGATCGATCACTGGATCACAATGACGAATCGCGCGGTCAATATGATAGAAAAGAGTTGATCGAAAACCTGCCCACTAACGAGCACGCTAAATAAGAATATGTAATTTTCTACGCTTCGAAAACGAGCCTGCGTAAACGCAACAGCGAATCACGCACTGATTTCCCTCGACTGCCTCGATTTCCCGCGCTCGTCACGTGATGTGCTGACGCATGCGCAGTTCGGGCGCAGCACGTGCATCGTTTCCCTTGAAATACATCCAAGACTTAGTTGTGCTTGTTCAGTAAACGTGCGTCTCTCAAGCTAGCGATACTAGCGGTACTAGCAAACTAGCACCATGGTTGGATCTGAAAGGTGGGCCCGTCAATCGGAATGCACGATACTTCTTTGATATTCCGTAATATACATACATAACAATGTATGAGAGGTAAAAGCTTTCTCATATCGTGAATAGTCGAGCTTCGTCACCTCGATACTTTAAACTGCACCAAACGGACACGAAGCGAACATTCGATAGATAAACTCGGTGTGCAACGGTTGCTAGTGATAAACGATTGAATATGAATTATTCCGCGGTTTTCCTCGATACGGTGAATTCACCGTGAGTCTCTGCGTGTTGTTTACTCGCTTCGATCACACGGTTTCCTCACAGACGATATGAAACATCATCCCCGAAAAAATTCACACCGTCGTCCCTGTCGAAGGCCCCCCGCGCGCGATCGCTGTCCGTCTCCCTACTAGTTATGCAACAATAGCAAACATAAACATGAAAATTATCCGAAGAGTATTCCGGGTTACACCCGGATTTATACAGATAATACGTAAATCGTAACGCACGCATGAATTGCATTTCTCTTGAGCGGGCACAGCGGGGAGGAGTGTACGTGAAAAGTGACGCGGCGATTCGGATCGGTGCGCGAGAAAACGCATGTGTGATCGATTGTCCATTCAACTGCGTGGCGGTAAAAATGAGCGACACAGTGACGCGTGGCGTTTAGTGAGCGCTCGCGACGATCAGCTCGCAACGGGCAGAGCATCGTCGCATCATGGTTAGCATTATCAAGTAGGTCGCGGCTTCACTTTTCATATCATTGACAGCTGACCAATAATCGACATGTAAAAAAATACAGCGTCCACGATTGCCGGATCATCGTCGGCGCGTGTCATAGCGCGTCTCGAGTGTAAATAGTCCCTCGGGAAAAGCTTCGCGTGTGACCGCTTACGCTTTGAGAAAAGAGACGCTGTGAGAAATTAGGCGGATTTACAGCTGAAATTAGACGAAAGACCGCGGGAAATTCTGGATGGACTCGCGCGTGTTGCCTCTCGCGTGATGATGGATCGTGACACGTTCGACGTTGCGGTATCCGCAAATTCGTACGGAACTGATTAAATGTGAATCTTTGTCCTCCCCAGTCATACCTGAACCGCGTAAGAAGTAGAATATATATTTGAAGTAATGCAATAATCGTATCGCGATAACCGTAAGAAGAGGAATAATTAATAATTCATTTACATTGGATCATAAGCAGCGGAAGAGACACGTGCCAACGGTCGACACTTTTTGCATTTCATCCGAGCTCACCTTCGCCCCATTCCGCCGATTGTACCTTGACGTTTAAGATCGTGATTATGAACAGCTCATAAATAATCAAATCGATCCCATGTGGAAGCGACAGAGAGGTTTGGTCGACCCGTTGATGAAGAAAACACGAACGCGAGATCCGCTGTGTCGCGTTCCGCGCGATGATTACTGTACTGGAAGAGTGATATACGGCATATCATATCACGATTTCTCTCTGCTGATTTTCAGAGCTATCCAAGACCCGGCTTCTCAGAGGTTGACGTGGTACAAACCACCGCTTACTGTTCTGGTCATCAAAAAAGTTCGCGACTCGGCGGTCTTGCCGCCGTTTGTGGAGATGGTCACATGGTTAATACAGGTTAGTATCTCATGATTATACTAACTTGAAGACAGCAAAGAGATTACGGATGCGCATCGATCAACAAGATGATTGGTATGAAGAGTAGCGACTGGTGCAAAGAGTCTATTTCCCGTACAATACAACGTTATGGAACTTGCCACGGAATATGCATGAAATATATTTAGTTTTTTTTTTTTTTTTTTACTTATTTACTTCCTTTCAATTATTTCTGACGCTAAATTAATTCAATCCTTTTCTGTTACTTCGTGTCCTTTTGGGGAAAAAAAAAAAAAAAAAAAAAACTTCACAAGTAAAATACTTACTACATTCGTAGCCTCGATACTATTGAACAGAATTTTTTTTAATTCCATTTCTGAATGCAGGAAAAGCAAATGGTGGTCTTTGTGGAAGCTTCTGTTCTGGAAGATCCGGCTTTAGCCAAAGACCCTAGATTTCAAGCTGTGCGTGACAAATTGCAAACTTTTAGGGACGGAGATGACTTGCAGGTAATAAACGTTTGTTCCGTCAAAAACGAGTGAAACTTACAATACACGTCTCTCACGACTTACCCATTATGGCCGGCGAACGGGATAGTGAAGCTAAAGTTCATTTCCAACCTTATCACGCCCCCGATCCGGTTCAATAATATCCGAAATAAACAGCTCCGCGTGACGCTAACGAAAAAACATTCCTATCATTTCTTAATCTGTGCTCTCTGGCAGTAAATCGAATGTATTGCGTCTTGCTTTTCAGGACAGGATAGATTTCATAATTTGTTTAGGCGGTGACGGCACTCTTCTCTACGCTTCTCTGCTGTTCCAACAGTCAGTGCCGCCTGTGATGGCATTCCATCTTGGTTCCTTGGGCTTTCTCACTCCCTTTGAGTTTGATAATTTCCGAGACCAAGTAACGAACGTTCTCGAAGGTGAGGAAGTTGTTTCGAGTTCATTCGATCCGACCTCTCATTCATCGTTCGTTCACTCAGACTGTTTGCATTTTTTCTTTCTTTTTAACACCAGGTCACGCAGCCTTGACTCTAAGGAGTCGTCTTCGATGCATTATCGCGCGCAAGGACGATGGCGATCAACCGGACAAACCACCTACGAAGCTGCTGGTGCTGAACGAAGTGGTGGTAGATCGGGGGCCCTCACCTTACCTGTCAAACATCGATCTCTTTATTGACGGCAAGCACGTGACAAGCGTCCAGGGTGATGGCTTAATCGTAAGCACGCCAACCGGATCGACTGCCTACGCGGTTGCCGCCGGTGCCAGCATGATGCACCCTTCAGTTCCTGCCATCATGATCACACCGATCTGCCCTCACTCTTTGTCCTTCAGGCCGATCGTCGTACCTGCCGGCGTCGAACTCAAGGTATAACACGAATCCTTTGACTAATAAAAAAAAAAGAGACATTTTCAAGTGATCATCCTGTACAATGATCGGCTCGGTATTTTCGGGCGATTCGAAAGACAGAGAGAGAGAGAGAGAGAGAGAGAGAGAGAGAGAGAGAGAGAGAGAGAGAGAGAGAGAGAGAGAGAGAGAGAGAGAAAGCACTTTAACTTCTGTCCGTAAAATCGGATACATACAGAGAAAGGCGTTCGCGTCCCGTACGTAACAACACATCCACCAATGAATTAGCGCGATGTTGTATTTTCACGAGGTCGGTAAAAGTTCTTTCGTCGCGGCAGGAGTTACAGACTCGTGTCAATGTACCATAGAAGGAAAACCTGGTTCCGACGGATGTCGCCCGCATTCCCAGACCATTGCGCCGTCTCGTTCGCACTAAAGTTTTCAAGATTTTTTAAGACGCGACGGAGATAATTCGCGTGAAAACTTCGGATTGCGGCCACGACGACTGTTTTCACGAGGCGAGGTTAACAACACTCGAGTCATTTTGTTTCATTTTGTCGGTCTTACGCAGCGATCTTGAGCAATACTTTTAAAGTATTTCCTCTCACGCATTGTTCGTCGCGAAACGACGATCACAACGAGGCACGTGAACAAGAAAGAAATCCACGATGAGCGGTGAAGCAAGCTCGAATGTGGCTAGATCGGAGCCGACAGACGAACGTTATTTCGCGCTGAGCGCGAGTCGCCGAGCGACAATGCCAATGTAGTAACTCACCAATTAACACCGTCGTCTTGCTTTCCACCGCAGATCTCTGTTTCACCCGACAGCAGGAATTCATCGTGGGTGTCCTTCGATGGTAGAAATAGACAGGAGCTGCTGCACGGTGACAGGTAAAACAACAGCTGACATTCCCCACCTAATCGTTTGCCTTTTCTACAATTATTTCAGATAATGGCGAACAACCAGGCCCGTAGTACAGCTTGCGTCTCTTTCGACGGTCGCAATCAGCAAGAGCTGTGTGTTGGTGACAGGTGTGTGCGTGATTATTTCATACAGTGCATCTGTTTCGCCTCTCTCTCTCTCTCTCTCTCTCTCTCTCTCTCTCTCTCTCTCTCTCTCTCTCTCTCTCTCCCCCTCCCCTCCCCCCTCTCTTTCTCTATCGCCTCAACATATTGTTACGATATATTTGTATAGTTCTTTTTCTTATTTGAATATTGCAGACTCCGCGGGAAAAAAATACGTTTTATTCACTGAGAGCTTATTTTGGCTATTTCATGTCGAGGCTCATTTTCCTTCTTGCCTTCCTTCTTGCCTTATGACGAAACATTCTTCTTATTCCGACCAATATACCGCTTTGCACTCTTCTAATATAATTTTTACCGATACTAGATTTTTTCGTTTCGATAATCATACATCGAAATTACACATGAATACGCTTGATTCATTGCCCAGATGGTTTTAATATATTGTTTTCGCTGACCATTCCTTATACGATGTCACTCTACATTTTCCTGGAGCGAGACGTTGGCTGTCCTACAGGGTGATGGTACTTTATTTTTCATTATTCATATTGTGCGAAGAACATTTCATGCATATTATCTTAATTCTCTACGAGCTAAAAATGCTTTGCTTCACATGAAAACACTTCGATTAAAATTAATACTATCTTACAGGAGAAATATATATTTTTTTTACAAAGTATATCATATTTCTGTCAATTGTTCAATCAAATATGCGTTCAAAGTATTATATAGCAGCATCAATCAAATTTCGCTTCTGCGAGCAAAAAAGATCTCGTAAACTTTTCACAATATCGAGCTTCCGCGTAGGATTTATCATATATTAATATTATCATGTCGGACCAGGTAATGTTACAGATTGTATAATTTTTCAGCTTAAAAGTGACTACTTCTATTTACCCGGTGCCTAGTATTTGCGCGACCGATCAGATCACCGACTGGTTCGATTCACTAGCCGAATGTCTTCACTGGAACGTGAGGAAGCGACAGAAGCATTTGGATGAACTGAGCGACCTTACACATTCGTCCAGCAACGACACTCTGGACTCTCTCGATCGGGACAGCTAAGTCGTATCGTCCACAAACGGCAAACACAATAGCACACAATCGACAATATTTGGCCAAGTCTTCACGCACTCGACTGAGAAACCCCATGAATCAAAAATCGACCGGACGGACAGTACAGTAAACTGTACTGATACAGCGCCCCCGATTGATTCGTCGGAATGAAGGGCTTTAAAATGCGATATTAAGAAAACCGCGTGTATATGTCAAGGAGCGATCACACAAAGTTAGTATTTTATCGATGTCTTTTTCGCGCATCTCGTAACATTTTCGATGACACAATGAGCAATCGAGGAATTAACGAGGGGGAAATATCGTGCTAGTATCTCAATGAAATTGTTGCCGTTCTCCAGACTATCGCGTCAAACAGCGCGGTCAGTAAATGTCGGTAAGGTTGTGTTCTAAAACCGTACCTTCTGATACAAAAAAATCATGAATGTAAGTAGGGAGGAGCATATTCTAAATCTTAACTTCTAAGAAATGGAGTTCGACCAATATTGTGCAGTTTGAACCGTAAAACAACGCTTAGGTTACACGATTCTACTCGTTCTTTTCGTTAGTCTTAATCAACCTTCATTAATTTCGGTTGAAAAAAGAGAAATCTCTGTCGTTTTACGATGGACATTTGTTTTCGAAGAAAATTTATATTAACGATAAATTATCGTTCAATTTATCGTCGAGGCGACAAATAATTATGATAAATGTTTTTCGCGCATTTGTGCATATCACATTTCGACATCGACATCGAATAATATTTTTTCTCTTAAAAAATAATACATAAATTAATCCGAAAATACGTAAAATATTTTATGCTCTACCGAAATTGCATTACTTGTATAGATATCCCTATCTTGTAACATTTCTCCTAAGTTAGTATGATTTAAGTAACAGCAACAATGTTTTTGCTTTTTTTTTTACTGGTTATAATGGCGATTTGGTGTGAACCGATATATTGTAAATCGCGTCAAAAGTATTTTTTCCTACAATATAAGCCTTTTTAATAAAATCTGTTTTGTACAACATTTGCCATTTCTCTCCCAGACGTACAGTTCAACGGTGACATAAACATGTATTAATTAAATCTTACTGCAAATGAATTTATTTGCTCGTAACGTGAACATATAAATTCGCATTATATACAACGACGATGTATCGCAGAAAACATGTGACAAAAAATTATGTACTTCCTTTTCCCATACATATAAAATACGACGCATAGGAAGAATCAAGGACATTCAGCAAGCAGGAAGAATCGGATGAGTCCGACTACGATTGCAAGGCATGCAACCGATGGCGGAATCACCACGATACGCCTTTGCAAAAATGTCTCCTACACATTCACCCGACCACAAATGATCGACTCAGAAGAGTTCCGGGTTGCTTACCTTCAATCTCAACGCTTAAACATAAATATATGTGTGTGTGCGTGTGTGATTTTAAATTCTCACACGCACTTGTGTCTACATCAGTCATGGGCGTGTTGACACATTGTAGACGAATGCATACAAGTCGTCGATGGTGCTATTTTAAATCTAACCGTATGTACATTACAATATGATTACCTAAAAGAGGGGGTATAATGTATACTTAAATGTACAAGAATTATCATACTGAGAGCCCTTATACCCTATGTTACACATAAATAATTATTTCTCTTAAGTTAATACCGAATAGAGCAGTCTCCTACAAGATCTTATCTTTATTTTTATAACTAAAGTTGTTGCCGCTTAGACTGCGCACGTGTGCTTTTCTTTCGTAAGAAACAGTAGCGAAATGTATTTCGCTCGATAGTCTCTGGCCTTGTTTCTATCTGTTGTTAGTCTTCGTCATTAAGATACAGGATTTGGCAGCAAAATTAATGTCCTTTTGCTCGTCTTTTCTCAGATCGGTATTAATAGTTCGTTATTACTTCATAAATAATCAACTTGGCGAAAACCTCTGATTTTTCGTCGATCCATACCTATACTGTCTATGTATTATCTTATATTATACTTAATGATTCAAAACAATGAAAATCTGTGATTATATTCTCAAGTAAAGGACGTGGATAATTTACAATTACGAATATCGCGAGATTCTCTTCGTCATTATTGTAAAAAACATCTCCATTTCTAATGCTAAAAAGTTCTATTTTGCTATGGAACTTATTTCTAAATGAAATGTCTTAACATTAATTCTCTTTCCCTTTCTCTCTCTCTCTCTCTCTCTCTCTCTCTCTCCTTCTCTTTCATTATTTTCTATACAATTTAAATTTTAACAATAAATTGCACATATGTGTCTCTGTGCCTGCTAATGGCAACTGCTTTGAGAGAACGACGATCACAACATAATTTAAGTCTGTTTCTATCGTGTCGAAACGGATTCGATCGTTCCGCGATCCGATCGTTTTTTGTCACCTCTGTCTAGTCCCTGCAATAGTCGAGTGAAATTTTTTCACCGTTCACGATACGAACGTAACGAGGACAGGCTCGTACGAAGAGGGCGGGTATCCGTTGGGCTGTACAAAAAGAAAACAAAATTTCAAGACGATAATCTCGAATCATCAAAAGTCCTAACAAGTGAACTGATCAAAATACACACACACACACACACACACACAACAGCAAACGAGAGAAAATAGCAATGTTCACAAAAACGAATTTCAATTCAATCTTGAGTTTCAGCGAATTAAAAAATTACAAAGTTGCAAGAAACTTCAACACGAGTGAACATGCATCCAGCACGTAAACGTTGAGAGATCCATTTACCATGCTCTACTCGAGACATCTACATCCATATACGTGTGTGTATATATGCGAGACACCTATTATGTTCATCACGCGAACATACTGTTGTTTCATGTGTTACTGCACGCACTGTGTTTAGTCTCACACGAGAAAACGGGAAAAAAATATGCCAAGGTAATCCACGACTCAAAAAGGAGTTAGTATTGTTAGGCCACACACTCACATGCCTTCTGATCCAAATCGTGGTCACCGCAGGACGGTTGTTGGATGTACAGAGCAGGTTTCAGCTTCCTTTCGTCAGCCTGCTGTTCTACCTGAATAACTAGGCCGTGATTGCTACCGCTGCCATGTGAGTTTCGCGAAGGCGGCCTCCAAAATTTCAAGCCCTCCTCCACATCCAGCACCACGTAACCGCCCTTGGCCGTCAGAGGCGTCAGGACAGAGTCCATCAGCCATCTCTTCGCTGTGGAGAAACGAAAATGATCCAAGTTGTTCGAAATATTTCTCGAAATATCTCTCGCGGAGATATCACCTCTTGGGCGATTTAGAACCTGAACTCACATCGGTAAGTCTTGAGCGACTTCTTGTAATAAAAAACGGATATCCTGATTTTCTTCTCGCTAACTTCGTCCTGACCGGGATCTCCGTTTGCGGAGGAGGACGTGAGGTTCTCCTGCGGCAGCTTGTAAATTCGCAATTTCGCCGCTTTCACGTCGTCGTTGGCGGTCAGATTCAATTGGAAATGCAAGTTCATCAAAAGCGGATCCGTCCACGCCTCGAAGTCTGTGTTTCGAGGTATTTGACCTACACACGAGGAATCATCATGTCCTTTCTCTAATATCCCATAGAAGCTGCTGCTACTATTTGTTTGTTCTTTTTTTTTTCTCTCTTTAAATACTGCTATTTATTCCCATCTTATTTTACGCTACTGTCTCCCTTCTTTTTTTTTCTTTGATATGTACAACATTCCCGCGGAGGAGAAACGCGTGTTCTAAATGCGTAACACGATTAACCCCTTAGGTATCGAGCTACTCACAAGTAGGCGAGAACATGGTGAGTCTCTCGCGCTCGATCTCACTGGTGCTGTTCTTGAGAATCATTTTTCCAGTTAACAAGAGGACTCGCATCTTAATATCTTCGAGTACCTTCTGACTCTCACTGCACAGATGGATCAAAGTTTATTAGGTTACACGGAGCGCCTAAATGAAACGGTGACGTACGATGTCGCATGCCAAGCGGTTTTTAACACGGTACAGCAGCAACGAAGCAGCGAAACGCAAGTGAATTCATCTCACTCGGCGCTATGCCGTATTATCGTGCGTTAGTAAAAGCAACGATTACTTTACATCACCGTCGTGCACCGAAGAGCGAAGAGAGTGTTCTCGCGACGAAGAAATCCGAGAAGAAGGAAAATTCGGCGGAGCATCATGCCCTGTTGCGTCGATCGATAAAGCAACGATTTGTCGCGGGTGCCGAATCCGAAAGAAAAATGGTTCACTCGAGATCGAGAGATCTCCCAGACATCTCGAATGTCAACGTCAGAAGTGTGCAGTAAATGGCTGTCGCCAATTTGAACCGTCAACGTAACGTTTCTCGTCAGGCGACGGTTTCTCATCGACGACGGTTAGTTTGAGTTGCGCGCGATGCGTGACAACGATCGAGCAGACCTTGATATGTCTCGATATGGAAATCTCGGAAGGACGCGATCCCCGGAAAAGATCGTGTCGACCCGTTGCAACGACCTAGTGCAACGGCGCCTCGCGTCCACGCGGCGGCACGAGAGAGAATTTTCACCTCGAATTCCCGGTAAACTCTTCCGGGTGCCGACACGGGCCAACGAACGATGGTCAGTGACCTACAGAGGCACGGTACGGCTCGGAGGCATTTATTACACGTTGCAGACAGCGGCTAGACAGTCGGCGGATACACACCGGCCACCCCAATCACCTCGACTTTCCGTCTGGTCTCGGAACCTTAACTTTTTTAAAGCCGCGTCTCGAATCTTAAGTCCACTCCCAAGACGTCTCTCAGCCAGCTCATTTGCATCGCCCTACCTCCGACCGAGACTTTTTCTTCGCCACTGGACGTCGGTCGTTCGCGTTCGCGTGACTCGAATTTCACGCCTTTCCCTGATGCGGCGCGACGCATCGTATTCGCGCGCGCGCGCGTTCTATTCGGCGCTTCTAATTTGCAGATCTCATGTTTACGACACGTGTGAAGTCGCGATCTTACGCTTGTCGTCGCGGTACCGCGCGAAGAATTCGTTGTTTACTCGCGCTCAGCGAGCCCACGGCCTTTCCGAAACCTTCAACCGGCCAGCGACGGACCACAGACGTCGCGTTTCGAAACACGTCGACAACGGACGATCGGTCGGGGTCGCGGAGTTGCATAATACATTTCTAGCTAACCAACGACTAGCGAAATAGGACAAGAGAACGACGGGACGAAGAGAGAGAGAGAGAGAGAGAGAGAGAGAGAGAGAGAGAGAGAGAGAGAGAGAGAGAGAGAGAGAGAGAGAGAGAGAGAGAGAGAGAGAGAGAGAAAAGGAGGAGGACGAGGATGAGCGTCGTTTCTCTACGTCATCGATGAGGACCGCCGTGTTCGACGCCCACTCGGAGATTTCAGCGTAGCCTCCACGTCAACGACCTCGTTGGCTGCCCGAGCGCCAACCAGAGAAATGCATTTCCCTGAATGACGGGAAAGAGAAGAAAAGAAGAGACGTACAAGAGAGAGAGAGAGAGAGAGAGAGAGGGGGGAGGGAGAGAGAGAGAGAGAGAGAGAGAGAGAGAGACACACAAGGGAGAAGGAGCGCGTCCGACTACTACGAGAAACGAATAGCGAGCGGGAACAAGGATAAGAATTTTCTCAATGACGGCGACCTCGTCCTCAGGTCCCGCGGGTCTGTCCCATTTTTTCTCCACCGTCTGGGAGGAGTCGTTAAGAGCCTCGTTATATATACCGGCTCGAATATCTAAGGACTTCTTTTTTTTCCTCTCTCCCTCTTCCGAGGAGACGATGAATATTAATTGTTCCTTAACGAAGTTTAGACCACGGATATATATATATATATATATATATATATCCTGATATATTTCGTCTAGGATCCAGATTATCCGAAAGGTAAGGCCCCTGCTCTATCGCGGGGTGGGTGGACAGCGGGGAAAAGTTACGGCGCTCTTCTGCGAAATCTCGGATACGGTATAACCGAGGCCCTCATGTTCGATTCTAGGCATGCTCGTTAATCTAGCTGCGGCCAAGTCACGCGTTTCTCGCGCCGGCTCGCAGCGTACGTGCCACGTCTGTCCGCCGTCTGGGAAAGGGAAGGACCTGAAGAGTCTGGAGGCCGTTGCATCATGAGAACCGGCGGTACGGTGGATGATTCTCCTCGCTCGCCATGGGCCGAGTGTCGCGATAATGAAATTCACTGGAGCACGGCCGAGCAGTCGCCGCGTCGGCCATTAGCGTTCGAAATTAGATAGAGAGAAACGGGGGGAGGGGGGAGGAGAGGGGGGAAAGCAAGCCTAGCGGCGCTGTGTTGCCGGCGAAAATTTTCACGTCCGGTCGCGGCGCGGCGCGGCGCGGCGCGGCGGAATGTCGGTTAGTGCACGCGCAAAAAGGAAAGGCGAGAAAAGGGAAGAAAGAGGAAAGAGATTCTCGCGCCGATAGAAAAAATGAGAGAAAAAGAGCTGAAAGAATAGAGGCAGAACGGTTGCCCGCGATGCGATAGGCCGACGACGCGTAACCAGCGTGGCGGCCTGATTGGGCCGTCCGTAAAAATGCACATTGCACCGTCTGGCGGTGCGACGGCTGCGGCGGTGGACGATGCAGGAGACGTGGAGGGGGAGGAGAGGAACGGAGAGAGCGAGGGGGGATCACCGGCGAAAACTTCCTCCTCGCTCTCCGTCGCGCGCGCACCGTCACTCCGTCTTCGTCGACATAGGAAGAGAGACGCATAGACAAGGTCAACGCATTAAATTGAAATGTGTTACGTAACCTCGTAAGAGAGTTCTAACTGCAGCCCGACTAGACACCCGGCGATTACGGGGGTGCTCAACTCGGTGTCTCGCCGCGGTTAGGTTCGCTCGGCCGCGAATCGCTCGAGAAGAGACCACTCGTCGTCGTAGTCACATATAGCTTCTCTCGCGTTTCTATTATGTCTCGCCGGCGAGAGCTCGTCATCTCAGACGTAACATCTGCCCCCTCCTCTTTCGTTCCGGCCGTTCGACATTTCACGCTTATCGCTCAAGAGCTAATCGTAAAACAATTGCAGGACCGGACCGGGGACCGGAGACCGGAGATTGCAGATGGACCGGTACTTGAGATAAATCGTATGCCATCGACAAAAAACAACGTCCAACGTCGTCTCAAATCTCATCTAGTCGCGAGGTCCAGTACTGAGAGGCGCGGGGCTTCGTGTAATAAAAATTCGTGATATCAAAAGGATAAGGAATTAGGAGAGGAGACATTTTGCCGTGCATGCCATGTGTATATGCTGTGCCATGTGTGTGTGTGTTTATGGGTGCGCGCGCGCGCACCCGCACGAAGCTCCGAGGAGGATAATAGCCGGAGGATCCGATGCAACCGCGTGCACGATCGTGCGAGGCACAAATGCATCGGCAACAGCACGCGCGGAGGACTCTCGAGACGGGCTACGCCAGTGCCGGCACGAATGCATTTACGCGTCTAGACTTAATAAAATAAAAGAAATGCCCGCGCACCCGCACGAGTGGGGCTGCGAGCGGTTGTGGGGGAGCGCGGGAGGGGGCGATTTAAAAACACAGCTAGAGACCGCAGCGGAATTTCCATCGCGTATCCTTCCTGCCTCGTGTGAGGCGCGCTGTCCTAAACCTGTCCCTCGCGAAAACTTTATATTGCGCCTCGCCTCGCCTCGCCTCGCCTCGCCTTGCCTCGCCTCGCCTCACCTCACCTCACCTCACCTCACCTCACCTCGCGATTTCGAATCTATCCGGTGTCGCGGCGACACACTCGACTTTTTCGTTCGCGCTACCGTCAAGTCCTTTAAGTCATCGTGGAATCTATTCACAAATTTTATGTACGACTCAATTTTTCGCACGACGCGTTCCATACGGCGAAAGAGATTACAAAGACGCTCATCGTTTAACTCGTCAGCTGTATCGGGACCCCGGATGACGTAGTTGGCCAAACAAAACACAGATCAACCGCAAAATGCGCCGGGTATTATCTACTTGACGTGGGAGAGAAGGTCTTAAAGCGCGGAATTTCCCTGAGCGCGCGGCCGCGCGGCGCTCCTCCTTTTTTGCTTCCCTCGACTTTTATCGGTCCATCGAGATATTTTTACGTGACGGGGGCAACGTTTTGCTGAGAAGGCCGATGCTCGTCGTAGCGTCGAGCGTCGCCGCCGTCGCCGGCGAATTCTCTCGCCTTGTACACGTAACACGCGCGTCGGATCTTGCACAAATTCATGCGTTACACGTTCGGGATGAACATACATACACACACACACACACACACACACACACACACGCGCGCGCGCGCGCGCACGGACGGAAAAATGAAGGAATTAACACATTGCGACATCGTGCACTCGCGCACAAAGTGATTACGCGTGACTCTGTCCGTATGTTGCGCATGTTCGATCGCGATCTTTCGAACACTGCGCGATTAATCGGGAGTACCGATTGTGTAAGACTGTGTGAGCGACGCGATGATACTTTTTTACGTCGTAAGAATGCACGCGTATAACGACATATTGCGAAATAGATACAATCGAGAGCGAAAAAGCGAGAAGTCGGGAGATACGCAGGGCGAATTGCTGCGAATAACATAAGCACGAGCGATATTTTTGTAATCTCTTGTTGACGCATCGCCTGCCGCCTGCCGCCTGCGCCACCACGTGATGAATGCGGATGAAACGTGTTTACGAAACTGCTCGAATTAGCAAAGCGGCATCAACGAAAGTCACACACAGATGTGGACGGCGCATTTCTCTCTCTCTCTCTCTCTCTCTCTCTCTCTCTCTCTCTCTCTCTCTCTCGCTCTCTCTCTCTCTCTCTCTCTCTCGCTCTCTCTCTCTCTCTCTCTCTCGAGACGTGAGCGAAAACGCGCCACCAATTTCGTCGCGCGAAAGCGCAGAGGCGAGCCACAAGCGAGATTCGACGGCAGAAATACACGAAAGGAAACGCGTCGCACACCGCAAAAGCAACGATCAAAAAGCGGACAGTAGGTAGACGAGGGAAACGCACGGCACACCGAACCCCTTACCCTTCTTGAGGGCCTCCAGGGAAGCTTACCTGTTGAAGCTTGAAGTTACGTTGCGTCTAAAAGACACAAGAAGCACATGTTGTAGGTACAACATGTAAACGCAGAAGTACATGTTGTAAATACCACATGTTGTAAGTATACACGCAATGTTATCTAGTACTAGATTTGCATTTCTGCAGAAAGCGGAATGCGTATGTGATGAGAGACGTTTTTCAATGTAATTCGGCACGTGAGAAAGTGCGATTGTCGAGGAATCGAGAGGTGCTGATGCCGATTAACGACACATCCGCAACACATGATCAAAATCGCCGTAGCGGCTTACTTTCCTCGGCGTTTCGCCTCTTCCTGTGTACCGTGTTTGAGTACTTGTGTTCTCTCTCTCTCTCTCTCTCTCTCTCTCTCTCTCTCTCTCTCTCGAGCTTCGAACTTACTTTTGACGATGAGCGAGCGCCATTTGATGACGGATGGATTGATTCGTCAGTGGTACTTTCTCCGTGGATGTGTTCGCGTTGAAGAGCCTCACCGGGGAGTCGTTCTGATACTCCATGGTGTCGTTTTCGCTCTCCTCCGGAAGATAGGCCAAGTTCGTCTCCTCATAGTCCGATGTCCCGTTCTCATCAGCGTCTTCGTAGCCCAGCGTGTCCGCCAGCGAGGGTATCACTCTGTAGACATCGTCCTCGACCCACTCCAACCCCTCGTATTCGCTGACCTTCTTGGATTCATTCCTGGTGGATAAATCACTCCCGTTTGTCGAATCAACTGTCGCTTCAGAGGTGGTTGCGTCAGAGCTGATATTGCTGGCAACGGTATCGTTAGGTTCCGGGGACGCCATCAAGGCGATGGAATGTTGATGCTTAAGATAATCTGGCTTAATGTCTCTGAGATTCCTCATCTGATATACTACGGGAAGTGGAGTGTGCTCAGCAGTAGGGGAAGAAGGCGAAGAAGAAGAGGAAGAAGAAGAAGAAGAAGAAGATGATGAAGACGGTGACGAAGCATGAAAGGAATTAGCGACGTTCTTGGCGGTCGTGTGTCTCAAGGTCGAGGGAGCGCGATGCTTGAGATCCTTCGAAGGGAAGGCGTCTCGAAGTCTCGGCCTCTCGTTGGAACCGGAACTGGAATCGAACTCGGAATCGTCGTAGCGAATCTTGAAGATCACGTGGGGCTCCATGGCGCGGTCGAAGCTCCGATGCAAGTTTCGCGACTGGTCCTGCTCCTTCGAGCTCTTCGACTCATCCTCGTAATCGAAAGCTGCCGGTTCGGACCACGACGACTGCTGCTGCTGATCAAACTTGGAGGCCAAATTCTCATAATCTATCATCGCCTGCCGGTTGTACGCGTCGAAGTCGAAGTCGTCGTAGGAGGCTTTCTCCTTGTACCGGTTCTTCTTCTTTTCGCCTTTCGACACCTCCGCGTCGCGGTTGTGCGACGACGAGGAGGGCGCGATTATCATCGAATCGTAAAATTTCTTTGTTTTCTCCTCGTCCTTTCGCCGACTCAGTTCCTGCTCACGAATCGCCAGTATCTCCTCGAAAGTGTAATTCAAGCTCTTGAGCAGCAGCATATCGGCCGTACTGAGGTCGCCCGTGATTATCTTCAGTATCGCCTTCTCCAGCATTTTTTCAAGTCTCCGCGTGCTGTAGGGAGGCAAGTCCTTGCCGTCTAAGGCATCGGAGCGCCTTTCCGAGAGTTCTGATCGCGTGGTGTAATCTGCGGTCTTTTCGCCCGACTCATCGACGACTGATGCTCGCTCGACAAAATCCACATGACCGTTTTCTTTCCTATGCTCCGGATAATATCCATGATGACGGTGAGATCGTACGCAGGTCGCGATGGACGCCAGTAAGAGAAGCACGAAGAATTTCGTAATACCCATTGCCGCGATTAAAGAAACAGCAACCGATTGAGAATGTACTCTCTCTCCCTCTCTCTCTCTCTCTCTCTCCCTCTCTCTCTCTCTCTCTCTCTCTCTCTCTCTCTCGCTTGCGATAACGGCGCACTCAAAGTTCCCGAAAAATAGTTTCGACTCTATATGGAATTCTCACGGAGATAAAATACGTCCCTTAGCGACACAATTAACGTTTCATTTCCGCCGGTAATTAAGAGCAATTAATGAAGACGACGTCTTACACGTCGTATAGAAGTTTACACGTATGGGAACGGTATTCGAAAGAAGAAATTAGAGATTAAAGCGGCAACGATCAAAGAACTCTAGTTCAATTTACGGTATATTTTGCATCCAGATTATTTAACGGCATGCATAGGTGGGGGGTGTATCGACCGTGTTCAAGTGTATCTCCTGAAACTGTTCAAAAATCTATGCGCGACTAGTTAAAACAACTCTGACGAGCTCACAAGACAAGATACCGCCAGAATCCCGTGGGAATTGCCTGACGGTCGCAACTTCGGAATAAATCGCGACAATATCGTGGAAAATTGCGGCAACCAACGAATTTCTGCGAGAAAATAACCGGCGATTTCCGCCTCGGGTAGATCTTCCGCTGATCTTCTCTCGTCTTCCCTCTCTACAAACGTCTCTACAAATGTCCACCGACCGATGCGTACCTGACTCGAAGCTGGATGATCGATCTCTGCTGAATTACGATATCAGTCTCTGCCTCCGACTTTAATTTCGCTCACCTCGCGGTGTCACGCGGAGATAACGAGCGCTGCACCACCGCGTTGGTCAGTATTAGGAAGTGCACGTCTTCTAGTAGGTCTTCGTACTTTTGTGGGTGCTGCTTTAAAGGGACCTCGAGGTGTCACCGCGTGGCGAACTGTCCGTCTGTCCTAGGTTGCGGCGCTTTTCAAACTCGAGGCAAACTCAACAGCACGTCCACGTGAAGAGACGAGGAAACCGTTTCGTACGGAGGCGCGTTAGCGAACTGGACCGTGATTGGTCTGCAGACGGTTGCGAACTAAGTTCTAATCGCACGAGGAAGGCGCGAGGTGCGTAAGTAGGAAGGATTCGTAGTATGCGTGTGTACGCTCTGAGCAGTAAGTCTCAACTGAGCCGTGCTGGCCAGCTCACAGACATAATTCTGTCTACTCACTAATTCCGAGACAACCACGAAGCCGCGAGAGGAGACGCGCCGGTGTTACTACGATGACTCCTTTTTTCTTCCCTCTCCTCCCCCTCCCCCTCCCCCCCTCTCTCACTGTCTCTATCTCTCTCTCTCTTCTCTCTCTCTCTCTCTCTCTCTCTCTCTCTCTCTCTCTCTCTCTCTCTCTCTCTCTCTCTCTCTCTTCTCTCTCTCTCTCTCTCTCTCTCTCTCTCTCTCTCTCTCTCTCTCTCTCTCTCTCTCTCTCTCTCTCTCTCTCTCTCTCGCACACACACACACACACACACACACACTCTCTCTCTCTCTCTCTCTCTCTCTCTCTCTCTCTGCTCTTCCTATCCGTCTCTCTCCCGTTCTCCCTCTCTTTCTCTTGCTCTCTCTCCACCACCGCCGCCTCTCTCACGGCTCCACTCTTTCTCCTCCACTCGTTCAAACCTGGGTAACCCCTTTTCCTCGTACATCGAAATACCGCGAGGAGAACAGCATTTGCTCTCCTCGCGACGTTTCGCCTCCTTCTTCTCCTCTTCTTTCACCTCCGTCGCTTCCTCCTCTTTTCGTATCCCTCTTTGTGTTTTTCCTTTTCGGCGCGAATTCGCCTTTCCGACTGTTGACTACCAGAGGATCAGATCGGATTGATCCGGTGACCAAATTCCTGCTTATCCTGGTGTCCCTTCTCACGTCACACTCGGGCACGACTGCTGTCACATCAAATTCCGCAAATCTCACACTCGTCCCCGAACGTCGGCCCAGTGTCTCGCACACAGACAGGTGGACCTCCCTCCCTCCCTCCCTCCCTCCCTCCTTCTGCCTCACGTGCGCGGATCCTCGTGTAATCGCACCTGTGAATCTACATACCGTGTGCGTCCAAGTTTCTTTACGAATGGATATTGTCCAAAGTTATTTCTCCGCCCTCATCGAGGGACCCACAAACGTGAACTCCACGTGAATGCGCGTGCCGAACTCTTTCGCCACGCCAAAAGGATCGACTTCGATCTGCTATCGAGAACTGACAACAATCACGATCGCATAAAGTGACGTGTTTACCCGGCTATACTCAATCGTGTCGATCGCGGATATTTCGATCAATTCGAGAGAAGAGCGGAAAGAGGAGAATGAGCTCCTCTCTTCTTCGTCTCTTTCCACGAAATCTCGGCTATGCGGTGAGAGTTCCTTTGATCGAACGCGCTTCGCGGAGCGTTACGACGAAATACGAAAGAAATGAAAGTTAAACGAAAAAGAAAAAGAAAAAAAAAAAAAAAAGAAGAAAAAGCGGAACAGGTAAGGGAATATATACGACGGGAACGCACACGAGGTCTGACGAGAGAAATGTACAAGCAGGCTCGTCGTGTTCGGATGGTCGTTTCAGTGGCAGCCACGTACGACTTTATACGGTGTCTCCCTCTCCGCTGTCTAGACGAATCGAAAGATATGATCTTTGAATCATAATATATCGCTTTTAATAAATGCAGCCTCTGCGTGCGTGCGTGAAAATACGATGCGTAGCACAGCACACGCCAACGGCGAGAATCCGCTGGACGTGCAAAGTCCCGAAAAAAAAAAAAGAAAGAAAAAGAAAACGTACCGAAACTCTTGAGGAGCGGAATAACGATGCAAGGAATCGTAATTCCTGACATCAACGGAGGACGACGATCTTTTTTTCCCTTAAAATATCGTAACGTTCTCGAGAGAACGTAACCGCGCGACCCGTTTTATTTCGATTTCGACGAGGACGACTCGTAGCCGACGATGAAAAATTGGGACTGCATTGAGAATAGACGTTGCCGAGCGCGAGCTCGTAGACAACCAAACTTTCGGATCCAACCTAGCGCTGAAATCGCTGTGACGCAATCAAATCTCCGCGAATCGAACTCGTGAAAAATCGACAGGACCAAATTAACATTGAAGAATCCTCGCTGGAAAGCTTTCTTTGGCGCTCGCGAGAACCTTGCCAATGAGAGTTTCCTCTCGACGTAACCACTCTCGCCAGTACACCGTCAACGACATTCTAATTGTCAAACGAAGAAAGCGCTGCGAATTCCTGCGTCTCCGTCACCATCAAATATTTCCTCAACAACAGACCTCCGCGCGCCGCACGTATCACACGCGTTGAAGGAATAAACGCGATCCATCTTTCTCGCAGGTCGATTCGCCACAGTCGTCAGAGACGACTGGGTGGCGTGTGTGATGATGTAAGGAAAAAGAAGAGAACGAAATGCCAGCGGTAAACAAATCGATGAATCGGGACCAAACGACGTAACCACTTATTCACCCCTGTTCAAACTCAGCCTGGCCGACAACGGCGTCGTCTGGTGGGGGGCCACGTGTGTCGAAGGAAGTGCAATGCGGTGCCCCGGACACGCACACACACACACACACACACACACACACACACACACACACGTCTCCCATACCTTACATTCAGTCTCGCGCTGCTTATACGGTGCATGCTTAAATTACATACGTATAGACGAGTGTGACTCCTTTACGGTTTGAATACGCTGCCTCTTCTAGATACACTCCGAATAATCGGCCCCGTCCGCATCAAATCGCTCTTACTCGCGCGCAAACCGTCAAATGACGAGGCGCGACATGGACCGCGAGACTGCGTTTTCACTGCGCGTCGAATATCCAAAGTTACCGCGACAAGACGTTGGGAGACGTATGGCCGGTGTCTCCTTCTGGAACTAGAGCTAGAAAGAGGCCAAGTGTCAGTCGGCGCGCAGTTAAAATTAAACGACGTTAGTGAAACTGGCTGTTTCTAGCTCTAGTCTCGGTTACAGACGCTTGAGAATTGGTTCAACTACAGTGACTTCTCGTCATATACCCAGGGAAAGAGGAAAGGGAGAAAGCGATGAAAAGAGAGAGAGAGAGAGAGAGAGAGAGAGAGAGAGAGACAAAGAACGAGTTAAGCTGAGGTTAAAGTTAAGCGACGCCGTCGTCGTCGGTGAAACCGGCCCTTAGACTCGGAAGACACGTCGAGTACATAAAGTACCCACGTGCGATCACGCGCGGGCGTGCAGACACGCGGGCTTAACTGCGCACAGCGCAGTCGGAGGGTTATAGGGTGAGCGAAGGAGAGACACACAATGCAATTTGATCCCGCGTGCGAGAGACGGCGACGGCGGCGGCGGCGGCGGCGGAGGCGACGGCAGCGGCGGCGACAGCGACGGCCGGGGTGCAACGGCTGTCTGACGTCACCACCGAATTCTCCGTCGCGGATCGGACATACGGACAGACAATCTGGCGCGCGTCTAGACGTACCAAAATAAATAACGCGGGGCCTCGCCTCGCCAAGTGAAATTGTTGTTCGCACTTGTAACGCACGCTCGTTCGTCGTCCTTGTCCATGACGCGTCTCTTCGCCTCGTTGCCTCATGGGGGATGCTTACGGAGAGGGAGAGGGAGAGAGAGAGAGAGAGAGAGAGAGAACGAGAGAGACCAAGACACCCACGAGTCCTTCCGCTCGATGCGTCACACACGGGACCATGAACGACGAATATCGCACGGTCGAACGTGCGTAACGTGTGGCGAATATTACGCAAAGCCGCGAGAGATTAGACGCTACGTGTTATGTGCCGGCCTCTGACGAAGATTGATGACGTTTCGCGCGAGTCGATTGTAGGACTGACTCGTCGAATTTGACAGTGTGCTGGAGGCGGCGGGATCTACGCATTTGACTCTTGGTCGAGTTTCTACGCGACGATGTGGCGACGGAGGGATCCCTCTGGGGGCCGCTCTGAAAACTGGTCGGAAGCGGCACCGATTAATCCGAACCGAAGCGACCAAATATTTCGGGGCTCTCGATCGGCCTGAGATAGAGACTGAATGTCGATTGGCCCTAAAATAACGGCACGTCCTCCGCGCCACGACGTTGGTCGTGGAGATTAGGCTGTGCAAAAAAGGTCGAAGACGGGGCTGGGGCTGGGGCTGGGGGGCTTCGGCGAAGTTTTCGCGACGCGATCGCAAATAATTCGAGACGTATATATAGTAACACCGGCGACCGGTGTTTCTTGGAATTGTTTTCATAGTCCAGGGTAGGATAATATACGAGGCGTCGACTTCTCGGCGATGATGCAGGCGACATAGGGCAGGAGGCGGGAGCGAGGCATCGACGCAGAAAAAGCACAGCGCGTAAACATGAGGGCCCCACGAAACCACGTCGTCTCACCTGGCGTCGAGTCGCGACGTGGTGCATCCGAGATACGCCTCCGTTAATGACAGAGTCTCCGTTCCCCTCGCTCTCTCTCTCTCTCTCTCTCTCTCTCTCTCTCTCTCTCTCTCTCGCTCTCTCTCTTCTCCACCTTCTCCCTCTCTCTCGGAGAGAGACGGGGGACGTCCGAGTGAGAATTTAAGACGCTCTGCCCACGCGCGCCAAATTATTCCGCCTTATGCCCGTTTCCCCCGATCGGAATTGTAAAAAAAGAGGTCCACCGACGCTGGCCGAACGGGGACCGGCCGGCGCGGCGAGGCCCGCGGAGGAGCCGGCCGGCCGCCAGTGGTAGCAGTGTGTGGTAGCGGTGAGAAATAGGGGCGAAGGGCGCGAGACGGTGGGGAAGTGGTGAAACAGAACGAAAAAGAAATGGAAATCGTGCAATTTGCATGGCCTCCTCTCTCTCTCTCTCTCTCTCTCTCACTCTCTCTCTCTCTCTCTCTCTCTCTCTCTCTCTCTCTCTCTCTCTCTGGCCGCGCTCTCGGCCCTCGTCGACGTCTTTCGCCGCGAGAGAACGGAGGCAGACGGCAATCGAGATAAGGTCTCCTCTCTCGAGTTCCGTCAGGGGATACTCCTCTCTCTCTCTCTCTCTCTCTCTCTCTCTCTCTCTCTCTCTCGGTCCGCCTTCCCGCTTCTCTGATCGCTTCGTGGAATCGGGATTTGAATTTCGGAACGGATTGCGCAATCCGCGTGTCGGCACCCACGCGCGCAACGCAATCGTCTTCGGCCGGCCAGTCATTTTAAACTCGATACCCGCCTATCGAGAACACGCAAATCGCCCGAGAAGAGATTGGGAAGATCTCCCTGTGTCGCCCCCTCCCCCCCCCTCTGGCTCTCCGCGCTTGGTCTCCACCGGCGGAGAACGGCCGCCGC